ATTATTTGCATATTACATAAAATCATCGCGCAGATTTACAAACTGGGTCTGAAGGCTGGAAGCAGCAAGCTCTCTTCCAACGTACGCAGATTTACAAACTGGGTCTGGAAGCAGCAAGCTCTCTTCCAACGTGCTCTTGGGTTTTCCTAGCTAGCAGCTGATCTGATGCCCTCTGGCTAGGGCAGGTTCACACCACCACGAAAGACACCCAACATGACAGCATCTAGTTCTCCTCCCTTACTTGAGGTTCACGTTAGCTTCTGTGAAGACCGCGGGACCCAGGCCTAAAAGCAAATGGGAGCACGTGGAGGTGAGGAGAGAGCAGCCTGGAGCATGCTGGATGTGGCTGCAGGGTAACTGGACACCAGTGGAAAAGAGGTATCTGGTATCGAGCAGCCTGAGGAACTTGCACCACGAAGTGCAGGGAGTGAACAGGAATCACTGCCCTGACAGGGATGGGGAGAAACTGCAAGTAGGGCACATGACTAGGCAATTTATAATATTCCTGCTCCCACTTGTATTAATAACTTTCAGCTTCTGTGTTACAGAAACCTTTGGGAAGGGCAGCAGGTTTCCTGAATCAGGCCAGAATAGGAATGCAGTTGCATTTAGGATGAAGGAAAAAGGAAAGTTAATGTATTTTTTTTTCCACTCCCACAAGGAGATAGCTGAAGCTGGACTGTTTTACCTCAGGAGATGAGGACAGGAAAGGTTTGATGTAGATATTGGAGTCATGCACCTTCAGGTCATGGTCTCCCAGTCCTCGGGTCACCCCAATTGTTGCCATGACCCGAGCCTGGAAACAGAGAAAAACAATGGGATCAAACATGGTTCCGTGCACTATGCCAACAGGAAAAGAGAAAGAACAACCCCATTCTGTAATTACTATCATTGAGGATAAATTACCTTTCTTTTCTCCCACAAACTCTGGAGTTAACATATTATAAGCTTTGCATTTGTCCACATCCCAGAGTGCCCCCGCACCACTTACTTAGACTGCAACCCTCCTAAAAGGCCAAAAAGGCCTAATCCAGCCCCCTGGCTGTCCCATGCCAGCACATTATGCTATCAGTATGAAATAAATAGGTTTTACAAAAAAGAAAAGAAAAGAAAAGAGAAGCTTTATTAGATAATTAAGGAGCACACAGAGGAGGGTGCCACTGCATCAGTGGATCTCACACAGAGCAGGAATTACGTGGAACTGATAAAAGGCAGATCTGCTGTGACCCCAGCTCCACCATTCCCTTTCTGAGTGTCTTTCTCTGCAGCACTAGCAGTTTCCCCAGAGGTACCAGGCTCTTCCTCACTGACAGCCCTCCTAAGCGCCACCAGGCAGACTGCCTCGTGGGGACTCCAAATCTCTGCCCTTTGAGTGCAGCTGCAGCAGCTTCTAACCAGGACAGCTCACTGCACCAAGAGCAGGGAGTGACTGACCCAAAATTATAGTGCCTGCTAAATCTTAGCCCCATGAGGCAAGAAGAAAGTAAATTAAAAAGATGTCCATAAAGCATTTTGGAAATAACTATAAACCTTACCAAATTTAGAGATAAGCTGCAGGTTTGGACGTTCAAAACTTAGACCAGTTTTGAAAAGCGCGTGTTTCTGCATTAATATAAGACCCTAATGCAGCAGGGGATCACAATTTAGAAACACAGCAAGCACAGCAGCATGCGCAAACTGACACCGCCGTGTCCTTATATTGATCCTACTGCTGCATCCAGCTAAGCCTGCTGGGATCAGCACTAATAATCTCCCCTTCTTAATCATGGAACTGGAGACAAAGTGCACCCGAATGCAATGGTTCTTTTTTCTCTTTTAAGAAAAGCTATCAACAGTCACATCAAAAGATTCAACAGCAAGTTCATGCACCCTAGCTGAAGAAGATATGCTTGAGGGTATTATATTTCCCAAATCCCACCCTGATCCTGCTCCTTCCTAAATTAGTGGGGTTTTTTTTTCTTTTTTTTTTAATCTCAGATCTCTGTGATGAAGTGTTATTAGATACCTTCCTGCTTTGCTCAGCAAACACAAGCGTACATTCATCCAGCCTTAGTTATATTTTATAATCAAACTAGGAACATCTCAGATCACTTATTTAAGGTGGTCCCATTGTACTCTAACCCTCTACAGTGAAACCAAACCAAAGGCAGCCTGAACAGTGAACGACTACATTGACCACAGAACTGCTTTTTAATGTCTCGAGCTTCTCTCCTCCCCCACCTACCCCAGACATGAGACTTATTCACGACAGACACAAGATATTCTTTCAAGCTGTCAAAATGATAAAATAAAGAGATACTGAGTGGAAAACACTGGACGGCCACAGGCTAAACAGAGTGGTAAACAGCTCAGAAATCTTCCTTGCTTTGGTCTGCAGAAAGCAAACGTGCCCACCTTCTTGCCTTCTCCATATATAAGAGGAAACTTCAAGTCGTCTTCCTCAATGGTTTTGTATGCCCTGTGGGAGGAATAAACAACACTTTCAAAGCTTGCACTCAATTACTGACCCAGTGCCCTGAAACAAGTGCATTTTTTTTATAATTGTTATTTTTCCTAAGGACTCTGCTGTTGAACCAAGACGTCAGTTCCTTCGTCTGCAGAAATTTTCCCTAAAGATTTGTGCCATTTGACCAAAAGGAAAAGTGAACATCAAGATGTATCCAACACACCAAGCTGCTCTGATTTCTTATAACAAAAAAGAGGTGAATCGGAATAGCATCCTAACAGGGGAGATACTGTTGGCTATGGCAGCAGCTCTACCATAATACAGCGCTATAACCCCCCTCCCAGTGACTAAATTCGCGTTGTTAATCCGCAGTGGGGAAGGACAACGGGATGCGAGTGCAGCCCAAGCGCGCAGCCGCTCTCACCTCTCCGACCCGACGCCAGCTCCATGCGGTGCAGAGCTGCAGAAGGGCAGTCAGGGCCCATCTGACCTCCACTGCCACATTCAAGGTCGCCAGGGATTTTGCATTTTGCAGCAGCTTTCCAGTGGCTGTGACAGCAGAAGCAAGTGCTCGTGCTCCGATTCCACTCAGCGCGTGCCTGTGCACGCTGCCTTTTACTCACCCAGCTGCTGACACTGATGGGGTGAGAGGGGAGCAATTTTGCCAGCAAGGGGGGAAATAAATAGACGCCTGTCACTTTCACAGATGCAAAGACCTTTGGTTTGGTGCAGCGTGTGCTGGGACCCACAGGCTGGGGACTCCCAGGACTGGAGGACATCACCCAGAGCCAGGCTGAGCTCCTGGGAACAGCACTCGGTTGGGTTTGAACAACGTTGACATAAACCAGCAGGAAATTAAAAATTAAGGGTGAAATCCTATATTGTAATTGCACTTCTCCCCCCTGCTGCTTCTCTGAAATACAGCGTAGGCCTGGGATCAATAAGGGTGTTGTTTTACATGGCTATATAGGCTGCATCCTCTAGGCACCACACGGCGAGCCCCAGGCTTGGGGACAATGCACAGATGGCAAATTTAAGTGCCGCCTTTACACTTCCCCGGGATCACAGGTATGGTCCACATCAGTGGCTGGGGGTGGGAGAGGGAAGGAAATAACCCAAAATCCCCAAAAGCAACAGCAGTGAGGGACTCCACACCTCCTCCGCAAAGCATTGAATGCGTGAATCCCCAAAGAGGAACCAGGGCAGGTTTCCAAAGAAGCAACGGATGCTTCTCAGGAGACCACAGTCAAGAAAATTTACACATTTTCTACACAGATTTCACAGATTTGGCAAATATGTTTTGGAGATCTCTACAAGGGACAAGAAGGAGAAGGTACTTAAATGGCATTTTTATAGCAGGGGAAGGGCCAAACAAGTCAGTTTTAACAGAAAAAAAAAGGAGAGGAGAAAAGGCACAGATCATTACACATAGCCAGCAAAATAAAACTTCCCCAATGTTTAAACCCTAAAATCACATTTTGTTGGGAAGGGTGAGTCAGTCGGGGTTTTGCCCTTGCTCCTTCCTTTATTTCCAGCACAGAACAGCGAATGTCTCTGCCCCACTCACCGACTTGGATATCCTCGCTGGAACACGGCCCCGTTTTCCACAGCTCCATTATTTTTACCACGGCTCCACCCCGCCCCAGCTAGGGTGTCCCAGAGCTCCCAGCTGGCCCTGCGGCGCAGGAGCCTCGTGAACCCCCCAGCAGCCTGGGCAGTTCCCATCCCTTCACACCGAGCCAGTCGCACTCGGACTCCAGGAAGGATGATGTCAGTCGAGTCCATGTAGGGCACCAGAGTCAAATGACTAATCCAACCACAAAGCCAAGAAGACAACAATTCCTACAGGATTTTCAGGCTGCTATGCATATTTGTTACAAACAGCTAACATGACTAAGGTAGCGTGGCTAAATATTTGCAAAAGCCACTTTAAAGAAATAGATTAGGCCATGCTTTAGCCACGGATTAGATTAGCTGCAAGATAATTAAAATACTTGAGAGATCAAGACTCAGGTTTTACACTGTTCTGTAAGTAGCCAGAAACGGGGATTTAGTTTTCTTCCCTCCTCACCTTTTCATATAGAGCACCCTCACACTGACTGTGCTCTAGGAAGAAGTGGGGGAAAACATGGGCCTCTTTGGCCAGCTGCCCTTCCTGAGAATGGTCCCCACAGCTGCATCTCAGCATCTCCCATGGGGCCACCCAGGGGCCATCTTCCACGCGGCCATCCAACTGTGACACCCGGGCGCAGGGACACTGCGAGAGGCCATGCTGCAGGAGATGAAGCTAACTTGTTTCTTCAGGAGTCCGGCGCGGGCAGCTGGCCAGCTTGGGCCTCCTCGAGCTACGTGATTACGTGAGCAAGGCCCGGGGGCTACAGTGATTTGTTTTGTAGCTGCTCCATGAATTGTCTCTTGGGCTCAGAACTTGGGTGTCAAGACTCATCTCAAACATACTTTGCTGGTGTTGTTGTTGTTGGCATTGCTATTGCCCAAAAAGAAATATCCAGCCGCTGAGAAACAATGCTTACAACTCCAACTGCAGCAGTGGAAACGGCACAGATGCACTGAAGAGCAACTTGAGACCCTCTAGAAAAGCACCTAGGTCCTACGTTACTAGTAAAACGGAATTAATAATATATGAGTGTGTGGTTTCCTGCAGGAGAATGATGGAGGACAGCTTTTCAGCTAGCAGCTCAACTGCACTGGGGAGAAGGAAGGAAGGAAGCTATGAAGTCTCTTTTGATTTATGCTGTGCAAAACCTCCTGTACTCCGTGTGTGTGTTTATTTCACAACCTCCTGGACTATTTCGCTTGACTTTAAGTAATAAAATTGCATTTATACCTTCCTGTGCTGTTTGGAGAGACAATGTACTATATATAAAGATATAACATAGCAATAGGTATATCAAACATAGACATATGGAGAACCTGAGGGTGTTTTTTGTTGCTTTTTCTAAATGCCAACCCGGCCTTATTCAGACACCCGTGTCATTCAGCCTAGCTCTCTCTTGCAACAAACACAGACACAGGGCTGCAATCCTCCACCCTTCTCTTCCTCACCGGCATCCCTGAAGAACTCAGTGGCCACCAGGACGTGCCAAGAAAAGTCATAAGAAGGCTACGCTGCTGCTTGCTGCTCTCAGAGAGCCTAAAACCTGTCAGTGTTTCTGCCACGTAAACCTCTATTCTTCCCAAACGGAAAAATTGAGGGGAAGGAGAAACAGTTTGAGAGGGATGGGAACAGAGAAGGCAAGCTTGTGCCCAGCAAGATCTAGCTGCATTTTTTTTTCATTTAAGTTCATTGCTTCCTTTCATTTAAAAAGATTTTTGAACGGCTACTGCTGTCCAAAAATGCTGAACTAGGGCTTGACACATGTACCACCCACAAAGTTACATTTGGACTCAGGACCAACATTTCGGAAAACTGGGCCAAATCGCACCAGGAGCCAAAAGAGATGTCAAAACGAAAGAGCTAGGACTGAGATGATGTTACTCATATGGTAATTGGAATCTGTTCTAAATACACAGCAAAAAATACACATATATATAACGGGAAGCTACTAAATGCACACGGTAATCTATGGAACGAACATCCTATGGCACCCACAGTCACTAGCAATGCTTAATGAAACGTCCTTTAAATAAAAAATTGCCAAAGTTACCTGCAATTTTCTGGTTGCTGAACTTGAAAAGTTGGTCAGCTCCCAAACACAGATTTCACAGCCAAAATCCTAAATAATCTCCCATATATGGTAAGCACTCTCCTGCCATATAATTTGTTCTTAAAACTGTCCATACTAAAGAACATGCGAATTCATGCAAGAGTAGAAGCTGTTATAGAAAACAACTGCAAATCCAAACATTACATTGAGTTTGTTTACAGCAAATGATGCAAGTTTGCTCTTAATGAAAGGTATTGCACTGGCACTGGCAACAACAGATGGTCACAAAAACACAACCTATCGTGTCCTGAAAGACTCGGTGTGTGACCGACCGGGGAATCCAGCCTGGTGCCCACTGCCTTTCCGCAGCACTTGGCTTTGGAAAGTTTGTCCATATTTCACATCTCTGCTAGTGACACCTGACAGGGAACTGAGAATTACACCTGAATTACAACAGAAGTGTCAGAGGGCTTTAGCTCGAAGCACAACCTGCTTGAAGCACAGAGAAAAAAGCACTACAGCTTCAGAAATGTCCAGCTTATACTGAATAGAAGGGTGAAGGCAACCTTTGAGACAGCTTAGTGGACAGGGATTTTTTATTTCTAGCACTGCTTTGTTACTAACCCTGTAAAAGTACCCAACAAGTCAGCCTCTAACCCTCTACTCAACACATCTTGGTCCTACTAGTAGAAGAATGGATTTTAACTCTTGAACAACACAAAACTTGCTAGAAAAGAAGAAATTCCTCAAGAAAATAATGGATTGGAACTAATCCTTTGTTTAACAAGACTCAAATCACCAACCCGAAAGGGACTGGTTATCTCTATTGTCTACCGAACTACATACAAAGCAAAGTGAGCAAGCAGGCCGAGCAGGCTTTCCAAGAGGAGCAAGGATCCGGAGCACAGGCTAGGCACAGAGCCACTGAAAATTACACAATGTGCATCTTGAGCCAGCCGCAATTTTTTGAATGTCCTTATACGAATGTGCTTTTGCAGAGTCAGGATCCTTTAAGCCACGCAGTACTGACATTACGTATGCTCTGGACAGGTTAGGTGCCACGTCTCAGGGCCTCAGCTTCTTGCCTCTTTCATTCATCTGATGCACAGTTCAAGGAGGCAAAGTTAAGAGAGACAAATATAATAAAAGCACACCAGCCATACTAACATTTGTTAAAGAAAGGGTGACAGCAAAATCGCATGTATTAAAGAAGAGGCATGTGCACATATGTAAAAAAAAGAACAAAAAAACCCCGGCTCTAATAGGGTGTCTTTCACATAAAAGGAAGAATATGCAATCCGTGAAATATCCCTTTTCCCCAGAAGAGGCAGAACCCCCTCCTTCTGA